CCCCAAAACCCCAAAACCCCAAAACCCCAAAACCCCTCTCTCCCAGGCCAGAATTGAAAACTCCGAATTATCACCTCTCCCATCCCTTAAACCCCAAAATCCATTTCTCCCAAAATCCCCAAAAATCCCGTTCAGCCCAAGTTCCCACTGAGCAGCCCACCAATTTGTTCAGAACTTAGGGTTAACAGAAAGTTAAATTTATTTTGTCTCAGGGTGCTCAGAAGAAGTAAGTGGCTGCTTTTGGAAGGTTATTGGACTAGGGACAAGAGAGTGGGGTTATCAAAGAAATCTTCTTCCAAACCCTCAATCGAATTTAAAATCTCTAGACTTCTAAGAAACCTTGTTCAGACTCTCTTTGGTGCTTCAATTTGCTTAGAAAGAGAACAGTATCAGAAAACCATTCCTTCCTTAGTTTCATGGTTCACTAATCATAATTCAGATGTAATACTTAAAACGGTTGAAACCTCAGCCCCTCTCCCATTAGAATCCAATATGACAGTATACGAAGGACATTTTGCAGTTATATATCAAGCGTATTCGTGAAGTTTGGGAAAGAAGGAATCTGAATGTTTTAATACTTGGAATTGTGCAGTAGGATTGAAGACTTTATATATCGATAAATGAATAGTTGGAAATTCACTAGAATGAACCTCACTCCTCTGAAACATGGCCTCAAGTTCATTGAGACTCAAACTTACAAGATTTTGTTCTAAGTTGTTACTATCTTCTTCATTATCGTTCATGATAGCACTTATAACATTATTAACAACAAAATTTGATGAAAGTTGAGCATTATCTTTCTCCAAGTCTCTGATTCTGTTGATTCAGAGATGGGCGTGTAAAGAAATCAGGTTCACTCTATTTCAATACCATTTATAGGCTTACGTTATTATGACCTTTTCATTTTGCTTGGAAATACTCAGATTTTTATTAGGTTTAGTTTCATCATGATTACTATTTTTGAAACAGATTTTATCTGAACTGCATGTCTCCATTTTTAATTATTAATTTTTACGAAAATCATCTCACTTTTATACTTTTTCTTTCGTTATATATAAACAAAATAATCATCTAATTATCTTTATTATTTAAATTTTTGATTCTTAGTGACCAGAAATCACCTAATTGATGAACCATTTCTTAATTTAAGATCCTGCTCTTCAAAATCCCGAAATAATACCGACTACAAATATTTTAAAAACTAACAATATTTCAAAAACCTTAAAAAATTAACCATTCCCCTTAAAATCCCTAAATAAATCCCAAAACACCCATATTCAGTCATAAAACTAATTTTCTTTCTTACCCTTACACCTCTCTCCTCTCCACAACCCCTTCTCCTTCCAAAACTCCTCTTCTCCACACCCTCCACCCTCTCCTCTTCCAACCCTCTCCTCTTCCAACCCTCTTCCTTCCATCCCCCCTCCGCTTCTTCACCCTCGCTCATCCAAATCAGAAAATTTCCTAAAAATCTGCTAAAATTCTGAAATCTCACAAATTTCCGAAATTTTGCCGATCCTGCTTGTAGCTAGAGAAATTGGCCATTTTTGGAATTAAGGGTTGGGTTGGAGGATTTGGGAGGTTGTTTTATAGGAAGAGTTTTTGGCCGGGGAAATTATTTAATAAGTTTAAGTGTAGGTGAATTGAAGGTATGATCGGGAGGGGTTTTGGGGTTTTGGGGTTTTGGGG